TCAGGTTGTGGCAAAGGCTAGTTCAACTGTTTAATTGGCTTCCACATGTCTCATTCTTTACGTCAGACAGTTCTTTGCTTAATTGCTATTTTCCCAACTAAAGAAAAAAACACGTTGCTACATGCAATTGCATGAATGCGATATGAAAGATGGCTGCCTCCGATCCGCTGAGTCAGCCAAGAGTTGCTTATAGCTGGGAAAGTCTTTAGCAAAAGGGGCAAAAAATGCAATTCTGTGTGCTTTTCCAGGTGTTGAAGCCTCGTTGTTAGCCACTCGTGGGCCAAAATAAAACCTTTGACAATGGTGAAATGACCTGAGGCCTAAGTGGAAGCGTGCCTATCCGTCTGTCCTGTTGGTTTTTGTGTGGCTTTGTCCTCCGGCGGACCTCTTCCTGTTCAAATCCGCCTCATTCCTCATTGTAAATAATTGTTTTTACCTTTTTTTAACCCTGATTTTGTCTGCTCTTGGGTTCAACCATTGTGTGGGTGTCCCAGAGTAGACATGACACTGTGTTCAGAGTATGTTTTGGTTCCCAAAATGGGTCTGGCTCAGTGCCCTTTAACATTGATTTAAGGTAAATCCTGCGCCTTTTGCAGGTTAACTTAAGGGAATTTATCCATCCCCAGCGGCTGCCTTTACTATAACCTAATATCACATAACTTTGTTAGGGAGGAAAATTATTCTGAATTATTTTAGCGCATATATGGAGAGGATTGAAGAAAACCTCAAAAGGGAGAAATGATGGGAATCGTAGTAGTGGTCCGTAGCCGTATTTTGAAACATCCTCTTTTATTTTGAAAGACCTTTTGAGTCACAGGTCAGACCACCCCTTCTGTTGTTGTTATAGTTGTGGGAATTGTTGGGTTTCTGTAATTAACTTCAGAGTAGGGTCTGACCTGCTCTGTTTGGGAAGCGCTGTGAGACAACTGTTGTTGTGATGTGGCGCTATACAAATAAAATTGAATTGATTTGAAAATTGAATTGAATAGTGGAGCATCCCTCTTTTAAAGCTCTTTGAGTTTTACTGGAACATGATCATGCTTGCTATCTCCATTCAGAGACTCCCTGAGTCAGCGGGCCACTGCCCCACGCCACCGCAGGCTTCTCCGTCCACAGACCAATCAATGGACGGGACAGAGCTGCGTTTGGCCGCCAAGCCACCTCCTGTGCAACGCAGTCTTGAATTCAGTTGGGACCCAGTGAAGAATGTCCTCACAGTCTGTGTTGGGGGAGCAGCGAAAAGCCATTTAAACCCTAACATCCATTTACAGCCTTGTTTCTTGCTCCTGTTACCATCTAAGGAAAGCACTTAGCACGGAAAACTTACATGATCCCAGCAAATCGCTCAGCACACAAGGGAGATGAAGTGGAATGTCTGAAGCCAGCGGCGGCAAAGTCTAGAAGTGCTTAACAAACCCTTGAGCCGCTGCCTGCTTCTCTACTGCTCCATCATCCATTATCTAGCTGCTTATTACCTAATGGGGGAGCGGGGCCAACTGGAGCCTATCCCAGTCAATGAATCAGAACCAGAATCAGAATCAGAAATACTTTAATAATCCCAGAGGGATATTAATGGGAAATGGGCGAGAGGCGGGGTACACCCTGGACGGTCCCCAGTCCATCCCAGGGCCAAACAGAGACACACAGAGACACACAAGGACCAACAACCACACACACTCACACTCACTCCTAAGGACAACTTGGACTGTCCAACCAACCTAACATGCAGGTTTTTGGACGGTGGAAAGAAGCTGGAGAGAACCCACACAGACACATGGAGAATATGCAGACTCCTGGTTCCCCCGGGGACTCGAACCCAGAACCCTCTTGGTGTGAGGCGATGGTGCTGACCACCACACCACCGTGCCGCCCAACGGGAGTTCCCATCTTTTCAAAAGCCTTTGTCAGGGTCTCCAGATGACTGACGATGAAGAAAGCTAACATAGGATTGGGCCCCAAATTCCACAACGTTCCCAGGCTTGGGTTAGTTGCTGCTGTCCTGACAACTGGGTTTGCTGGTCATGAGCAACCTGGATACTACAACCGCCAACTTTCAACACTATACGGACAGCAAGGCGATGCCTGGGGTGAAGCTTCACTGAAACTAGATGATTCAATGTTCATCATCATCATGGAAACGTCTTATTTGGAAAAGGGAGAAGTCAGTTCTCTGTCTAAGATCAGCCCTATCTCAAACTTCAAAGCTCAGGTTGTCTGTTGTAATAGAGGCTGTCACGCCCGTTTCGATGGATCCAAACTCAGCTCGTCTTTTGACTCAAACAATGATTCCGTAACAGGATCCTCCAGGATCCCTCGAATATTGCATATCTTTATTGGAGGCAGTGGAAATGCATTTACCCCTGGGCAAATGGCTTTTTGAAAAGATGGAGGCAAGAATATCTGTCCCCTCTTCAAGTCACGCAAGTGACGGGATGCTTGTCCCAGTGTCAAAGAAGGAGATGTGGCCTCAGTCAAAGGGAACCTTCGTCACCAGGACTCACCCATGCAGTGACAGGAAGTTAAAAAAAACTCCATCTAAAGGTCCCCAAAGATGGAACAACCAAAGGGGTTGTGCTTATGTAAGAGTGTGAGGTGAGATGGCAGGGCTCCCAGACTAAACTCCAAAATGCAGCTCTCCAGGAAAAAAAAAAGAAAAAAATCCCGGTGTTCTTCGGTGGGTTTAAACCTTTCGCTGAAGCTACAAAAACCTTTCAAACAGATCATTAAATGCATGATAAGGAAAAGGATTTTGAACATTGTTTAGAGGGGACGTTAGAAACAGAAGCAGAGCTGATGTGGGAGCACAACTGGCCAACATTCCTCGCCTCCTTGATTCAAACTGTAACATTTCTTCTGGCTCAACATCTCAAGTCGCTGTTGTATTATCTCAAACAAATTCAGTTCCATAAATAAAGATTTATGATATTATTACACACCCACCCAACTGTGAAGAATGCTTGAAAACCAGGAATTCGTGGACCTGTGGCTCTGCTTTGTACAGCTGCACTCCACAAGAAGGCGGTTAGCCACATTCTTACAGATCTGTTGTTCTGAACTGGGTAAGTTTATAGAGCTATTTATAGAGGAGAGACCTTCCTCAGAGTAATGTCGGGACTTTCAGGAAACAAGGAATCTGTGACCCTCTCAGCTGGACTGAGTTCTCTGCTGTCTGTGAGGAGAGAAGGACAACAAACAAAGTCATTTCAAATTTAAGCTGCATCTTTGATGTCCTGAGAATTTTCAGAATTGTGTCTCAGGCCGAGGGAGGCAAACAGATTACTGGAGCTGACAAATTAGATACAAAAATAAATAACCACTGCAGCTGCTTATTTTGTTGGTGCACTAACAATCCAAAATGCAATCCAGTATATGAGGAAGTCTGGTTTAAAAAGTGGACATTTTTAAAGTTTTGTGAACTTTGTATGAATGATTAGAGTTGGATTTATTTTATTTTTTTTACATCCAGGTGCATATTATGTATGGTTATATATAGTAGTTTTTCCCACTGATTCACCAGTCTGGTAAGCCTCAGTATGGTAAAATGATGCAAGGCTTGTAAAAAAAAGATTAAAATGTGTCATAAAATCTCCCGATCTGCTGCTGGTCTCTGAATGGGACCATTCTAGTAGACCATGTTCCACAGAACACACACTGTGTGGACCTGGAGCTTAGAATGTACTCGGTCAATACGTTTTAAGGTGAATTTACAAAGTCAGAATCTTCTGTCTGTGTCATGGAATAGGAATGTATGGCAACCGCAAGATACCTGAACGTACTATTTTGTGCAAGTATCACTTACTTGGAACATTTCACGATAGCCCAGCATTTTCCACTATCTGTGTTAAGACACATCCCTTTTGGGAATTCAGTCAAAGGCTTATGACAAAGCCTTACATGTAGGCCGCACCACCTCTTTTATCACTTTATTTCCCACACACCAGCCAGTTTATTTATCACACTCCCCGGGTTGTGAGTCTCGAGTCGGGACACGTACAGGTCGTGGTTTCTCAATCGCATTGTAAAAATGTTCCCCGTGAGAATGTCCTGTAAAGATAAGAGTTACGACAGGACGGTGGAGCAAACATGACACAGCCACGGGAAGGAAAGCTATCTCTGACTTTATCGCCATAAGACAGCCATCACAGCTCAGTTGTGTCTGGATTTACTTCCAGGCTTTGATTTCTGCTTTGATCGGAACTGTGATAAAAAGACAAGTGTTCTCGTCTTGCACCTGGAAAAGGATCAGTTACTTTAATTAACTCAGAATCTAACAATCTTTTACCTTTGAATTTCAGTGTCACTGAGCCAAGTCCAGGTCTAAATGTTACATTTCCTCTTATATTAGTTAGATTTATCCATGTGGAATTAGTTCTGATTGTTTTCTTTGAGGTAATAATCCCCCAGGATGCAGTGTTTCTACCTCCTGAAGATGTGGAGTGTCTCCCACTCCATGTTGTGTCTTTCTTGCCTCACATCACAGACCATGCTGCTGGAAAACAGCGACTGCAGCTAAAGGAATAAAAATAATTCTGAACTATTTACGAATATAGATTAATTCATCATATCATTTCTTAAATATCTTCATCACAGGTGTTTCAAAAGACCTATTTAGTCATTTAACGCATCATCGTTTTAGGTTTAGCCACATTTTTATTGAATCATTCTTCATGAAATGACTAAGGAGTGGAACTTTTTCCAGCCTTTGAAAGGGTGCCAGAGTCCGAATCTAAAACTACAAATCATTTGTTATGTCTGTAAAATAATCCCAGAAAATTAGCATTACTGTAGCACGTTGGACTCATAGGATCATTACTGCCATTTAACTGTGGATTTAGCTTTGTGCTTTGTTTGATGTGATTGGTTAAAGCAGATCCTCCCGCTTGGATGATTCTTCGGCCGAAACCAGAGAATGATCCGTGTCTTAATACCGTTTGATTCTGAAACAAAGGTATCTGTTTATCTGCTGAGCTTCTCTTAGCCGTGGCTTGCCAACAGAATCCATGCGGGAGCAACTGTTGCGCTCCCAAACACGCAGCACCTGCGTGCCCGAGCTCATTCCGGCTCTCCTCTCTTTCTTCCTGGATGAGGAGATTAGACGCAGGCAGTCGTGTTCAAACAGGCGGCCGTCCCTCTTCCACGGCTCCTCCGTCCCACCTGCATACCTGTAAACAAACCTTCCCCCCCCCCCGCATTCCCGGGCAGGCCCGAACCGGGCACCCACCCGTTCTGCCGCAGTGGAAATTCACAGAGTGATCGCTCTGATGTTGCACCATACATGCCTTTATGGGTCCACCAAATCAAACCGGGTACGAGATGGTTCAGCCAACTTTAGAGTGACCCTGGTCAGATCAGGAAACTCTGCATCCGCTACACAGGATGCATTTATGATAGTCCCTTTGCAGAATTATTCATTTATTCACAGGTTAATTGAATAAGGGTGAAAACCAGAATGGATTCCAGTTGATATTTTCTGCTAAGGAGCTGCACAAACTTTGTACAAGCAATTTGAAAACTTTCACAACTTTTTTTCTAACTTCCTGCCTATCTGTTGACCTTATAACACCACTAACACACAACCACAAACATCGACAACTGTCTTTTGTGACCCAGAAGACGAGACTTCTTAAAGCCATGTTTACACAGTTGGAACAAAATTGAATTACTTTGAATTGGGAGGCTTTCACAAGTTCATTTAAAGTCACATTGGGAGGAATTTTTAAATAAACTTTCTCATTCTTAATGCTGGGGCTTATATCCCAAAATGCATTAGCCTTGTCGCAGTGAGTTTTATAAATTTACTTTAAATTCAAACAAAGATTACAAGCTTTCGTTGTGAACACTTTTTGCTTTTTGTGGGAAGGACTTCTATTATCAGTTTCTTTCTTATTTGGCATCAGAGCTGAAGAAGCACCGAGCGTATTACTCCCCTGTTTCAGCACGTTATTATACAAAAAGGATGTCCAGTGTTCTTTAACTTGATTTGTTCGTGCAGCATTCTGCCTTTAACTATCAGCCACCGAGCACAGACACACACTTCTTTATCAGTTTGTTCAGTTTCTTTGAGTCCCAGAATGCTTCTGCTCCACCAGATGAACAGAAGACTCTCCATTCCCACCACACACCGGACGATAATTCACATTTTCATCCTGACTGTACTTCCTTTAAGACGCACAGCCTGGTGTGTCCTGATGCATTTCCAGCCCATTGTCCAGGTTTACCCTTTTGTGTCCGTATTCCAGGGAACAAGTCTCGCCACTTGTTCTTTGGAAAGCACAATAATGTGTTTTGTCTTCTTATTCTTTTTTTTTTTTTTTTTAAAGACACAACCAGGTGGGAACCTTTTTTTCTGTCCTTTCTGAAAGATGTTAGATGATAAGAGTGCAGACCAAACCAAACCATCAGGAGGCTTCCAGTCTGAGACATGCAGGTGTCAATAGAACCATACATTTGTTCAACGTTTGAAATGTGTTACGTTTCTAGAATTGCTGATCTAATCCCCTTTTCCTCATAAAAACCCAGTTAATGCTTCCCAATGCTTTTAAATCATCATTTTTAATGAAGATTTTAAATCATCTTGTTTAAGTTTGAAAACTGGAGACGGTTCAATTGAGAGCTTTTATGAAATCTGAAGGAGAAATGTGATTGACTCTTGGTGTATCTCTCACAACACAAACTGCACATGCTGCCATACACAGAACAGCTGCATTTATTCTAATAGCAAACACAAAGCATCACCATTCTAACAAGAGAAAATCATTTGAACAAACGCTATCGATCTTAACATAATGTTGTGATCTGAACCTGCTCCATGCCACATCTTCATCAAGACTCATTAAACCATTTTAAAAGTACTTTTTATGCATGTGTTTCTTATGTATGTCGTATATTTATTTGAAACTCCACAACTCTCAAGTGTTTGGCTGAACAGATTCAGTTTTCTGAAATCTAACCAACACTAATCTTTGTTTGAATTAGGAGGGATAAAGCTCTTTCAAACGCCGGTTGAATAATAAATACCTCAAGTTAAGTACAGTTCATTCTTTTTACTATTTGAATAGTTGCTCAGTACAATGATGGCCAAGAATCAGATCGCTTCAAATCTCTCCAGATGTCTCCTGGATTTCACCGACTTGCTGGATTAGCATAATGCTTTTTGTTATTTTTCTTATTTTCAAACGTAATCAAGTGACCGTTTTTTTACCCTCGGATGGAGAACAGCAGCCTGAATTAACAGCAAATCTGATGTGGATCAGTCAGGAATGTGGACTTTGCAGCTCAGCCCGTTTAGTCAACACTATCTAAAGCAGAACCAAACACAAGCAGGAGAAACTGTCTGACATTCACGTGTGCCAGACGTTGTCTCCCCATAATGTCTATGTTCTAAAGAATCCGGCACACGTCTAGAAAGAGCCGACACTAATCCACTGTTAATTTGAACTGTGTGTCAGTTCTATTTGTGTCCGAGCTATCTTCTGTTGACTGGAATGTTGAGCTCTCATCAGTTATGAAAGCCCTGATGATAAGCATGCAGCGTTGGATATCTTTTGTGGATAGCAGTCCACTCCCGGCAGACTTTAGTTCACACGCTGCCACCGACGCTTCAAAACTTACCAAACATGACAAACACTGATAATATTTTTAAAAAAAAGAAGTCACAGGCGTTTGGATGAGCATGATCTCCCATAGAGGCTTGTTTTCTCAACGTCTTACACAATCTATTATAAATTGCCAACAAGCAAATCAGGAAGCATAATTAATTCTCCTTCACTTTAATTTTAAACAGGAATAGCAACTGAAAGTGAAATAACAATTTCTATCCTGTTTTACGTCATTCTCATGGCCAAATATTGGGTCTGCTTCCTCTTTAAAAAAAACTCTTTGCTCATAACAGAATATCCTTTCGTTTCTGCCAAATATCCCCTACTTTGTTAAAATTCCATGGCTTGTAAAATCATAAAAAGCCTTTGCGTGTGCTTTTATTTATTAATAGTTTTCGGGTTTTTTCATTAGATATTGTCATTTAAAGTGAATGTCAGTGTTGTTTTATGTAAATTCATTTTCAGAAAATACTCAAAAGTGAACAAGAAATCAAATGACAAAACAAAATTGTATAAAAAATGTAATTTAAATATTTATTTAATGGGTCCGGCCTCATGCAGAGATGGGTTTTATCACCTGTCAGAGCAGAGGAACTAAGAGATGTGCTCTAAAATACATAAAAAGCTGTTTCAGTCTTCCAGATGTGTGATCCCCCCCTTTTAAGAAATGACTATTGCATTAACTCAAAGAATTTCATTCAGTAGGAGAATGTGAATCGAAGACTGGCTGCTTTTATGGGCCTGAAAGAGCTCAAATGCTGTTTGGGATGAGGTGCATTCACTTTTTCCCCTCAGACAGTTGGCCTACTTGGTATTCAGAGCAACCTCAGTCTGTGCTGCAGCCAGGACCCTCGGCTTCTGGGAAGAGGGGGATGAATAATGGAAACCAGGGTCCGAGCTGGTAGTCTCATCTGTATAAAAAAAACAAAAAAAACAGAAAGGCTGTAAAATCCTTTTACCACACAGAAACGTGCTACTTGACTCTACATTTGAAAATAATGACTAAACATACATACACTTTTGATTCAAAACTTTTTGAACCATCACGTCATAACTCTGCATTCAAGGTTTTTTAATCAGCGCGCACATCATAACAAACCGTGTGCTATTTCCCGTCTCTGGAAAATTACGACAGATGGATTTATAATTAGAGCTCTAGTCCGGCGTCTGAAGGGGCCTGATGAGCGTGTGCCCTGACTCACAACCTGTCAAACACACTCTAATACACACACACACACACACACACACACACATAAGCAGCGTTTGGCCATGACGACATCGGCAATACAAGGACATCTTCTATTCCTGAAAACGGGACATTTGACCTATGGACCCTGGACCAGTAGTGAGTAACCACCAGATCTGTGCTGGGGGGTTTGGGGGGGGCTCAGTTTGAACTCACAGACATTCACATTTATGATGTGATGACTTTTATTTGTCACCACAACCACTGCAGCATCTACTACACATTTACCACTAATAAGATTGCTTTGCAATATGATATGATAATAACAATAATAGTAATATTAATCAACATAGACTTAGACGTAGACTTACTATATTGTCATTGTACAAAAAAATTTTGATGACTTTTATTTGTCACCACAACAACCACTGCAGCATCTACTACACGTTTACCACCAATAAGATTGCTTTGCAATTTGATATGATAATAACAATAATAGTAATATTAATCATCATAGACTTAGACGTAGACTTACTTTATTGTCATTGTACAAAAAACACAAGGTAAATTTTGACAACAAAATGTTGATTACTTGGCTACCAGTGTGACAGAGCTTAGACCTTAATAAATATATTTTCTATATCTAAGAGCTAGATATATACAGGGTAAGAGCATATATATACATATCATTGCACAAATGAGTAAGGGGATGCTGAGTGGATGCTTTTTCTCTTTTTTTATATGCGCACATCACGGAGCACTTTTGGGTTTGGATGTGGGTGAAATAAGAGAAAAACCGCCACTATCCCCCTGGATGATCTCAGCAAGATTGGCACGCAACAAAGATGGAGCTGTTGTGGTCTGGTGACGCCAGAGGCGGACGCTCCTTATATGGTCCGGACCGTCCCCGCGGGACTCTTATAACCGGAGCTGGTCCATTAGAGCCTGCAGTCAGACCGAGAGCACAGGATAACACGCGCACGGAGCCAGGACTGTCTAGTGTGTGCTTTGAAATAAAAAATATCCAATTAACAAGATCCATTTCTTGCTAAGGAACCTAAACAGCCAGGATGAAAGGATTTGCCCTCCTCTTTCTTGTATTTCTCTCCATAAATTGCGCATTCGGTGAGTCCATCAGATCTTTGTGAACCTTTAATATATGTTCATATATCATTTTAAATCTAATGGAAAGTATGGGGAGGGCTTTGATTGTGTGTCCAGGATGCGATTTAAAACGTAAAAGACTGTAATTTAAAGTCTTAGGTAAACGGCCAATGCCATTACGCACGCTGCTTTTCCTCCAAACTAGTTTTCTTCTAAAGCGATTGGAAAAGCGTAAAGAATCACATGGAAAAAGGTTTTTATTGGAACTTGAAGTCATTCTGTCACGGGATTGTCCCCATACTGTTGTTTGGTTCCCTATAATGAAACCGCTTTCTTATTAACGATTCCGTTTATGGCGCATTTGGATAGACTCGGGGAGAGTCAGGGAGCTTTGTAGACACCTTTTGATCCAAAGGTTAACCTGGTGGAAAGGACCGGACACCGGGGGCTGAGCCCTGTCGTGCAGTCGTTGTCTGCTGATGATAAATGAAGGTGTTATTCCACCTCTAAGAAACGCCGCTCTGTCTGAATTACGCGCGGCTGCAGCAGCTTTTACCAGCTTCTGACATCCATAAAACATGCCTTTATGGTCTGGTAAAGGACTCCTGTCAAACTTGAATCAACACCGTGTCAAATGTCATCATACAGTATAAGATTATTTTACACATTACTTGCCAGTTACCCCTTTGTCACCGTTTCTATTTTCTATCTTTTTCAGTCTTTTCATTTCTGTGGAGCTGTGGTGTTTTGCCCACCCAATCTACAGATATCTTATATAGTACTAATTTGTGCAGAAAAAAAAGTTTCTGGAAAGATAAGAAATCAAACAGAACCTTCAGTAAAACAAATTCAGAAAATCTTTTTCAGTCAATGCATATTAGATACCAGGCACTTCCAATTAGTCCCAGCAAAGTTTTTCAAAACCTTTAAGTTTTGTTTAAGGATTTATTGTTCATTATTCTGTGTTTTAATGTTAAAAGTTCAATGTTAAAAGTTTTTACTATAGGTATAATGGCAAATTCTCACAGTTAAACTCTGTCCTCTGTCAGAGATTCGAACAAACTTTGACAAAAACTCTTTTTAATGACACAGGCAACTATCCTCGGGCAAAAAATGTCACCTGGAAGTCCACGAACTTCAAAACTATCCTGACGTGGGAACCCAAGCCCTCAGCTGACTACTCCTACACGGTGGAGTTCTCTGCGTAAGTAGCAGGAGGCTTCTCACTAAATATAGAAAGGAAAAATTAATAAAAATGTAATGATCTGATTAATGTTTTCATTATTTCCCTTCTAATCATTTTAAGTCAAAGCACACATTTTTAGACATCCATTAAGTTTGATTAATACGTTTTTTAATGCATCAGTGTATGTTCAGACTTGAATATTTAGTTTTCCTTTGTATGAAAATGCTCTTTAAAATCTTTTTTGTGTTTTAGTGCTTGTTTGGTGACTTAGAATGCTGCATCCGTCGGTTATATTTGTGTAACTCTGGGTAAAAACTGTTGCAGGATCGGAATGGACAAGGAAAGGAGTCCTTATTGCATTCGCTCCTCCAACACTGTGTGTGATCTGTCCCACTCTTCAGCCGACCTGCGGGCCTGCTACACGGCCGACGTTCTGTCCGAACCCCCACTGGGGGTCAGCTCGGACCTGACAGAGTTCCCTCACACCAGCTCGCCTCAGTTCTGTCCGTACAAAGACAGTAAGTCTAACCGAAAACAATCGCAGGTGTTTGTTCTCAATCTGCACAAAGTATAACGTCACAGATGTTCTGCACAGTTTCTATAAAATACTAAATAGTTCAGAACCATCACAGAGCACACACACATTCTGATGGATTCCCAGACATGCTTAGAATTACAAAATTAGTTCTTTTTGTCTTACTTTCCGGTTCAATTGAGTCATTCTTGTGTTTTTTACATTTCCTTTTTTCAAGACCGACATGTTATGTTTTTAGGTGTAATTATCACTTGATTTAAATTTGTTTGGTAAGGTAAAAAAAAAAAGAAAAGTGTAGAAGTTGCAAGCAAGCAAATTCCACACCTACGCTTTCAGAGCTCAGACTCCCCTGTTGACCTGCAGGGAGTTCTTCCTGAACTGTCTATTTCTGGTAGGGGTAATTCAGAAATGTGTAAACAGGAAGCCTGGCGTTCCAGTACTTTTCCACACAGACTTAAATCACTTCAGATTGTTGTTTTTTTTTACCCACAAAGATTCAAACGCGGTCTGAGTTATGCACGCATGCGCTGGTAAACATGTCGTCCTCCTTTAGACAAAAACTTAATCCACGTTTCCTTCCCCTCCGCAGCGGATATCGGCAAACCGGACTTTGAGCTGAAGATGAACGACGACAAAACGGTGACCATGCTGCACGTGAGGGACCCCCTCACAGCTCTGTTTGAGGGGGACCGCCAACTGACCATCAGGGATATCTTCTCTGACCAGCTGCAATATAAAGTGACCTATTGGAGGAATGGGAGTACTGGAAAAGTAAGTAAAATAATACCTATTTTTTAGAAATGTGAATGTAAAGTTGTGTTGATGAGGCATTTTTTTTGTTTCCTTGCCTTATTGCCTTATTGTTTTTTTTTTGGTTGTGTTATAGAAAATCTACAACTCTAAGAGCAGCTTGATAGAGCTGAGAGATCTGGACCGGGGGCAGAGCTATTGTTTCTACGTGCAGGCCTACATTCCAAGCCGAAGCATAGACAAACAACTGGGGGAGATAAGCGACACGAACTGCTCTAATAATGACGGCCAGTCTTTCTTGGGAGGTAATGTGTTGTCCGGCTTACAGTTCCCATTGTTATGTTTTTTTTTGGTCTAATTACATTGGAGTTCTCTTTCCGCAAATGTGGAAGTAACCACAGGAAGTCAAATAAAAAAAAATGTTGGCTCATGAAAAAAGAAATTTCGCTCCAAATGTCTGCATACATCTTTGGCATTTTTTTTGCGAAAATATTTAAAAAAGGCAGATCTTATTGATAAATAATTAAAAGAATTTAGTCTCATTGTCTCTCATTTAAGATAAAATAGCATGAGGGTACACATCATATAGAAATAGAATATTAACTTAAGTCATTTCTGTTTCCTTCAATTAATGAAAAGGATTAATGCCTCATTTAAAATGTGATGGCAAAGTACTGATATTATATCCTGATTATTAGGTCATGTGATCTCAAACAGTCTGTAAAAACTCTTTAAAAACAAACGAGGGATCCGTGCCTTCAGCTTTCTATACAATGTTTACTGTATACAGTTACTGACATTGCTTGAAATATTTAAAGATTTTAACATCAATCCAACAGCTCCATCTGGAGGAAACCTTCATTAGTAATGTTCAGTTATTGTTCAAAACTAACTTATTCATTCTGATAGTTATTATCAAAGTAGAGACTGAAAACAGATGTTCTAGAAACTGTACATATTAGATATTGACGGAAATGCTTAGTTGGCATGTTTCAGCCTTTAAGTCTAACAAAAAAGGCCCCAAACCTGCATGAGGGAGGCTGTGAAATGCAAGTAAAACAATCCACCAGAACTGAGCCGAAGTGGGAAGTTTGTGTGGGAACATTTCTCTGAAACCTGGGAGGACTCGGTCAGACTGAGGCATGGACATGTGTCACATAGTGTTTTGGTTGTGCTTAGAGTTGAAAAATTCAGCCATGTTAAACTGGGAAAGTACCAGATTGTGTGGTTTTGGTTCCTGGTCGTGATTCCCCATTCTCTCCGTCCTCACAGCTTACTCCGTCCCCGTCATCGCCGTCCTGGTCCTCTTCATCCTGCTGGTGATCGGCATCGTCATCGCCGTGGCCGTGGTCTGCTGCAAACGCTGGAGAAAAGCCCAGATAAAAAGAGAGAGAGTGCCCCGCCAGGACGTGTAGAGGATATTCAGGCACAAACATTCCCCGGGAACCTGCTGCTCTGCTGAACCCGATCCGAGACTGTGAGGAGAGCCGGAGTTCACCATTCCACTACAGAACACTGGAAAAAGATGCTCTTTAGTTTCTGTGAAACTGTTTTATTAGACCTCTTTTTTTTTCTAATATAAAAAAAATGCACAGAGAGAGATTTTTTGAAAATGATTCATTCTTCAACTTAAGGAACACAAGAAATAATATATTCCTCTAGCTGGGAGTAAGGGGTACTTTTGATCACTGTAGATAATCTCACCAGATAGTATTTATTTCATTTTATTGTCAACCTTTTTACTTGAATAATTGATCTGTCAAGGGGATTTTTTGCCGTACTTCAGGTTAAAGCTGAATTTTATCTTAAATCAATGCATTGCAGATATTTGTTTACATTTTCTTGCTTAATTTATACCATTGAGGGGAAAATAGTTCCTTTCGATTGTGTTTTTTCTAGTGTCTATATGTATTATTCCTGTAGATAATGAAATGTAACACACTGTGTAATAAGAACTATCGCACTTGGTATGATCAGTTGATAGATTTGAACAATGTTGTCTTTAATTGATAAAAAGAAAAACTTTGCAGATACTTTATGTGGACTCCCTGTTGCCCCTGAATGTGCTGCACATGCATTTACCTAAATGCACACACACTTAAGATAAAAAACAAATAAGAGATTATTTTTAACTGAACTTATTTATTTCTGGAAAATTGCAGATGATAATTCTACATTTACTTCTTTTGGAGAAGCTTTCTTTATTGGGAATATGGAGGATTTGGGGTATCAGTAGGGTTTTTGTCTTACCACTTAATTTGCCAAACCACACACTGGTCATGACATCCTCCCTGTGTGACTGTAGACAGATGTTAGAACACTGCTCCTATGCTCTAAAAAAAAAAAAGGAAAAATGACTGACCCTGAAACACAGTTATGCACGTTTTCAGACGAGAAGGAAAAATGTCAAAGAAGGCGAAACAAAGACGTATAAACGCCTGTCCCATCATCATAGCCGTCATCGGGGACACACACACACACACACATACACACACACACCCTGCACAGGTGGCCCGTCCAGCGCATAGGGCCACAGAAAGATGACCCACACAACCATGCATGCTCAAACTGACTTCACGGTCAATTTGGAGTCACCCATTAAGTTAACTCGCATTTTTCTGGCCAATGGGAGGAGGCCAGAAAACCTGGAGAAAAACCATTTCACCCACAAAATGTAGGGTCATTTAAGGGATGGCCAACAGGGCTGGACAGAGGTGTGGCGGTTAGCACTGTCCCTCTCTGGTTCAAATTCCCAATAGGGTCCGGCACTCACAACCCTGACTTGGAGATATCAGACGTAAAAAAATACAAATTGACAAATGGGAAGAAATGGACTTAATAAAAATAGCATTAGAAAAAAAAAGTCCCTCCAAAAAATAATAAAGTGGTTGATTTTCTTTTAGAGTACAACAACAGGGGGGAAAAAAATCAAATAAAAAAAGTCTCTTTACATCCATCGATCTTCAAAAAAAAAGTTAAGGCCAAATTTCTACAATTTCTTTAATGTTAGATCAGAACAGCATCATTATACAAAGAAAGAAAACAAGTACAGTTAAGATTATTTTTCTCTTTTTTTTTTTTACAATTTCAAGTAAATGAGTGACGAAGTTGATTAATCGTGAATGGTCTGATAAAAGATGTTTACACATTTATACACCAGTAACGTCACTGCATCTCAGACTTGAAGCCCAAACGTTACACGTCTGAAAATCAAATATTAACCTTTGTAATATTAGCAACATAACTATGACATTTCCAAACAACTTTAGAAACTAGAAATGCTTTTGTCTCCTCGATAACTGGACTTCTTAATAACCGTCATATTAGAGCTATTCTCACACAGTGATGACATGAAAGGCAAACGGGTAGAAAGACCCTTAATGGTGTTAATGGACATGTAAATTTAATTAATGAATAATCTGACTCCCCCCTCCCCACCCAATAGTGAAATCCTTTTAAGTTTATGTTACTACAATTAGAAAGTGGAGCCCATACAATAGTTTAAATTAAAGTGGAGCTATTCAAAATCATTGGCTGTATTGTAACGGATGGTAAAAATCACTCTAACGCAAACTAAAAATTCTATGTATGCTTATTAGGAAAGGTTCCTGGCACACACAAATGGTCATCAGAATCAATTTTATAAGACCTTACAGGGCTTTAGGAACATATTTCCAGTGGTTGATAAGCCGAAATGTAGTTAATGAGCATAAAGCTGATATCATCTACTGTTTTTGACCAGAGGGCGGAAAAGTGGGCACTTAGGAGAAATATGTTAAACAGCAGTGTCTAGAACTCTGAAAAACAATCCATGCTAAGTGAAAAGCTGTAGTTTAAGAGTCTTTACTGGTTGTGTCTGTTTAACATTCCATGTTAGGGTGTTATGAATGTAACACAAGTTATGGCAACAACCCCGATCAAAGCAGGCTGATGATATTACGCAACTGTGATGATACGCAAGAAATAACTTTTAAAAAAGGCCTCAAAATGCTTCTGTAGAGAGTTTGACATTAAAGGGGACCTGCATGGCAGTCAGGATTGTTACCTGTTATGCGAAAATGCTTGATGAATGACGATTTTCTTTTGCAAATAATAACAAAACACGGAACACATGTAATCCATCCCTAGATGCACGCAAACTAAACATCTCTGAGATTTAGAAAGACTCAACAGGACTAACGTGATTCGTCCAAATAAAATATAATGCAAGACTAATTTACAAAGGATTAAAAACAGCTTTCTTGTTTTAGTTAGTGTTTTTCATTTTTTTTGCTGAGTGCAAAGAATTATTGGACTGGATTAGAAGAGCACTGCGTGGCCGGCTGGTTTCAGGAGCCAGTTAGGAGCCAAACTCCACCGTTTCGTCTGTGATGGCCTTGAACTCATAGTTTCCTCTTCCGTCCATGTGGAGATAATACTAAACGGAAAATTAGGAGAAAGAGGGGACCAAAATGAGTGGGAAAACAAAATAATATCCAAAGGAAAAAGCAAGCACAACAACAAGCACACTCTGGATATATCTGAGAAGCATAAATACAAAGCAGTCTGCTTATTTCATTAATGAAGTGAACATGATTAAATGCTTCCGTTTCCCATAACTGAACAAAGATGCCCTTTACTCTGTCGATCTGCTGGTAAAATCTGATTACGTTTCCCTTTTTCTGCATTTGTCCTCTGATGTAGAACTTCAAATGGTGATCACTTCCTTAAATAACAGTGTCTTAGTCCCCACGGGTTTACGACATGACTGATGTGGCGCTTTGAGTTGTGCAACTCCCACTATCCGGAAACCTTTGGCCCATTTCACAAGTTCAACTGTGTGGAGCCACGACCTCGTCTTCCTTTAGACCCGTGATGCAATCAGCATGTTGAATGAACTACTTTTTTTTATTATTATCTCGAATAGTAATAAGTTTAATTTGAATTTGTGCAAACTTAAACCTTCCCGTGCTAGTGCTAGCATGACAGCAGGTATTATGCACGCTCTAAACTTAAAAATACAAAACTAATTATTTTGCAGTGTATTGGCAATATGGAGTTCACTAAAATAAATAAATAAATAAAATGAAATATTTAAAAAGCATTGAACACTTTGAGGTGAAATTGTGTGCTGTCCATGCTCTTTCTAGGGAAACGACCATCATTACCTCATGGTGCTTCCACAGGGACTTTCTGTGGGACACTGTGAACAAGCTGATGCCCACCTGAGTAGATAAAGAAAATACAGCTTGCATTACAATGTTATTTCAATAATCCCTTAATATTTGACACCACCGTGGGTTTTATTTAAATATTTGTGTCCGGCAGTCGTCTCATAATTGTCGACGTTTAGTTCCTCCACCTTTGACACGCAAAGGCAGATCGGTGTGAGGTGTGTGTGAGGTGTGTGTGTGTGAGGTGGGGTATGTGTAAGGTGTGTGCGTGTGTGAGGTGTTCTGTGTGTGAGGTGGGGTGTGTGTGAGGTGAGGTGTGGTGCGTGAGTAAGATGTGGTGTCTGAAGTGTCTGTGTGTGATTGAGGTGGGGTGTGTGTGAGGTGAGGTGTGGTGTGTGAGTAAGGTGTGCTGTGGGTGTGAGGTGTGTTGTGTGTGAGGTGAGGAGTGTGTATTAGGTGAGGTGTGTGTGAGGTGTGTGTATTAGGTGAGGTGTGTATGTGTGTGAGGTGTGTGTGTGTGTGTGTGTGTGTGTGTGTGTGTGTGTGTGTGTGAGGTGTGTGGTCTCACTGTTCTGCAGTGGCTGTAGATGTAGTCCTCCACGTCAACACTCACTGCGCTGGTACACTCGTCCAAAATGGCGAACTGGGGCTTGTGGTAGAACAACCGGGCCATCTGCATACAGAACCACACAAAGCACAAACAAAACAAAACAAAAACACGCACAAATGAGAAACCTCAACGGCTCAAATCAAGACAATTAAAGGTGCACAGAAAGTGACAGAGACAGACCAGCGGAGTCTGAACTGGGACTCAGGGATTCGGATTCCATAACTCCTGAATCTCCTTCAGATACGGGGGGGGGTAGGCAACCCCCGTGGCAAGAGGCACGTTTGGAATGGCCAATTCAACAAAAAAGCATGTTTTGGGACCCTGAAGAGGGAGAATCCCCAGAGGCAAACCATGCATGGCTAACACCAGCTAGCTAACACCAGCTAGCTGACACCAGCTAGCTAACACCAGCTAGCTAACACGCAGACCTGGACAGGTTGCTAAAGCTGAACTAAAATTTCGGGGGCTCTGGGCTTCCCATATAAATCAGTGCTAATGCCTCCCGGGAGCTCTTACAGCCATCCTCTGCTTCTCCCCTCCACTCAGAACGTCCATCCAGTCCTGGACGGTGTCCCAGCTGCCCTCTCTGTCCAGGATGTGGCCCAGCTGGACGTTGTCCAGGTATTCCTTCAGCACCTGGAAACAGGAACATACTCGGCCGTCACAGACGCGTTCAGTGTTCAGAGGGGGGGGGGGGGGGGGGGACTGTTTCTGCTGCTCTGCCCCACCTGGTCAGAGATGCCTTTCCGCCTCTGGTCGTCCACCGTGTCCGGGTAGATGACCTGGTCCCGCAGAGAGCCCAGCGTCATGTAGGGTCTCTGTGCAATCCCAAAGAAAGCAGTCAGACTTAAACCTAAGACTAGAACGGTGAGCATCACATGAAAGCACCTGACTGTGGATGGTTTGTGTTTTCATTTACAAATGACCTCCACTCTGGCGACAACTCAAAGCCACAGCTCGTTGTCCAGCCTTCAGCGCTAACACATTTAGGAAATAAATAATATCAATTGTCTTGAATATTGATAGAATTCACTTTGAGGTGATCAGCAAGAAAGATGGAGCAACTCGTAACTGAGTTTTTATTTGACACTTCAGAAGCTCAGAAACGAGAATCTACAAAAAAGATATTACATATTACAAACAATAGTTATTAGTTCAAAATAAACAGTGCAAATTAAAATTGAATTGATAATGGATGGATGGATGGATGGATTCTGCAAAGAAGAAATGG